CTGCTGCAGCTCCTTGCTCAGCATCCAGAGCTCACGTTCAGTGGCGGCCGCCATTTTGTCAGCGTACAAACAAAGAAACAAAGACTAGTTAAAACTGAAAACAAAAAGGTAAGAGTAAAGAAACAAGTTACATAATAAACAATAAATAAATGTTCAGTTAAAGAAAGTAACTTGAAAGATTAATAACAAGACAAAAGAGCAAAAATAACAATCAGTGAAGGGCAAACCCAAATGTGCGAAACATGCGGCCTGTTTAGTCAAAGATGGCTTCAGCCTTGCACATGGGCTTGGCAGGCACTGGGGCAATACTTTGCAATGTAACAATGGAGAATACAGGCTTATACACACAGTTCTACAGGTGAAGACAATCATTATTCCGGTGACTTGGATCTGCTAGTTGACTGGTGATTGGTTGACGGAGACATACGACCTACTGAAGGATCTTGGGAATTAGAAATGGAGTGAGAGTCCGACTGAGAACCAGTAAGCATGACGTGGAGTATTATTAAGCTAATTAAATGAATGATTCATATGGTTGCACAACTTAAGTCTTATATAACTGAAAAATGGTTAAAAAAAATCTGCTTTCAAAACTGGATTAGTTTTAGTTCCCAAAAGATTAAGTGCTATTAATGCAACGTAACACAATGGTAAATGTGCTCCTGTCCCAACTTTTTTGAATGTGTTGCAGGCAATAAATTTAGCATGAGTGTCTATTTACAAAAAACAAAGAATTTCATAAGGTAAAACATAAAATATTGTGTTTTTCAATTTAGTTTAGGTCAAACAGAATTTACTCATCAAATATTTACTAATATGTCTATAGATTGGTTAAATAAAAGCTGTGAACTGTTGCTTGTGAGTTCAGTACAGTGAATGTCTTGTTCAATGTGTGGAAAATGGGTTGCAAAGCAGATGTTAAATAATGGCAAAAAGGAGTGATTGGATTTGGGCGTGCCAAAGAAATAGCTGAATTTGTAGGTGTATCGAAGCGTGCGGTCATACGGGTCTACCATCAGTGGCAAAAATCCCTGTCTACAGGACATTCTCGTCAGAATTGTGGCCGAAAGACGAAACTGATGGACAGGGACCACCGGTCTGTTTCGCAGCTTATGAATATAAATCGCTTCATTTCCAGCCAAGAATTGCCTTTGCCTACATCGAGCTGCTGGACAACCAAGTTTTGCCTTTTGCTCATCATCTTACCAAGGAACATAACATTCCTACCCCAAAATGGCAAATCTCGCATTCACAGGGCTGCAGATGTGACTGATTGGCATGATGAACATTCAAGAGCATTCACACATCTAGACCGGCCAGCAAACCCCCGGATTTGAATCCTCTTGAAAATCTATGGGACTTTTGAGTCTCGGTTCCTCTCAGCTTTCTTTCCTCATTCTCATAGGGAGGTTCTCCTTTTGAGTCTCGGTTCTTCTCAGCAGTCCTTCCTCATGCTCATAGGGAGGTTCTCCTTTTGAGTCGTGTGTCCTCTTAGCGATCCTTCCTCATGTTCTTAAAAAGTTTGCTTCAGGACCACTGACTCATGAAGTTCTGTATATATTTCAACACATTAAAGTAACACAGACCCTCTAAACAGTCCCCAAAAAAAAAAACAAAAAAAAAAAACTTTCAACTCCTCTTGAGGTCTCAGCACATTTTCTTTGGGGGTTATATTGTGGTCCATGCATTTTGCTCTATGGAAAAAGAACAACATCATATATTCACATTATATAAAACAGAAAACATAAGTCATTATATGAAAGCACATCTATTTTTCACTGAAAGTGCAACAAGGAAATGATTTGCATATGTTATTGTAGTTGACACTCCTTAGTTAATGAAGTGGTAGGTTTTGAGTCACAGGGAAACATTCTGTTTGTTATAAATAACAAAAGACACACTGGCAGCTACATCAACTTGTTTTTAAAAAAAGTTGCCACACAAATCTAATTTATGCATACTTGTAAGTGTAAGAGTGGTTGGTGCAGGTTGGCACTGTTCAGTGAGTGCTGAAAGGAAAGGTCTGAGGGGTGAGCAGGTATAGCAGGGTCGACTGATTGATGCTGCATATGTCCCACTGCAGCCCTGCCCCTCCCTGCACACTTAAGCATCTACTACTTGCATCCTGCTTCATTCACACCTGTATACCTTACCACAGGTAAGCACATTTCTTGTGTCACTCTGTGCACAATTATATTCTAAATATTAGATTTTTCAATAATAATTGTGATTTAAATTATAATATTATATAACTAACTATTATACACAAGTGACCACTAGGTATATACTGTGTTTTGAAAATTTGTATTTACTTAGATTTTTAAAGATGTATGGCATTGGAAGGAATACTTCTAGGCGAGCGATACATTAAATGCAAATAGATTTTAAGATCTCATTTACAAAGAAAATTACTGATACAACGACCCAACATGATGATACACGGGCATTTTGATGTCTTTTTTAACCCTTTGCTGCATGCTGTTGCCATATTGCAACTTGCAATTGCAATTTTTTTTCCTACATTTTTTGTCTGACCCCAATATAAAAGTCATATTTCTTTGCAAAACTGAAAGCTTTAACCTGCAATATTGTCTGATCACATGCAGTTTTGCAGTCTATATTTTTTTTGTCAAAAATACATGACATGGTGAACAGATTTCCCAATATGTTGTGTAATTTAACAATTGTGCATAACAAAATCAGGAAAAGTTTAAATTCAATCTGTGGGACAGTAGAGCATAAAGATAAAAATACAGATAAATAAAACCTGTTTAGTTGATATAGGTTATATATAAAGTGCTAAAATATTATTGTTGCCATAAGGAATTGGAAAAATAAATGAATACACTACAATAGCTTTTCAAAACTTTTTTGTCATATGGCAACAAAATGCGAAGTAAAACCCTAAATGTGTTTTTTTTCCTTCACTTTTGAATATTTTTGTTTATTATGCCATTTACAATAAGAAAAATTCTGAAAACATTTATGATTTTCACAATGTTTGCAGTAAAGGATTAAATAGAGCCTACTCTGCAGTATAATATTAGGAATGTCAAAAATGTTGAGGACAAACTAAAGATCAAGATGAACATCATTGTGTAAACATTTTACATTATTGTACACACTTTCTGTACTGAAAATGTCCATTTTCTAGTAGACAGATTCATTATAGTAATGTTGGGTTGATAAACCAGACACTCGTGGATATACAATAAACCATAAGGTTTAATCAAAGGAGGATTATCCAAAAGAGCAGGGTTAACACCAGACCAGGTCAGAAACCAGAATAACAAAACATGATACATGGGATCAGGTGGAAAGCGTAGAGAGTAAACAGGCAAGAGTCTAAACCAAAAAGTAAGCAAACAGGTAATCTTACCCAAAAGGATTTGGATTTGGGAACCTTACATTGGGAACACATGGATTTTGGATTTGGGAACCTTACAATGGGAACACATGGATTTTGGATTTGAGAACCTTACAATGGGAACACATGGATTTTGGATTTGGGAACCTTACATTGGGAACACGTGGAGCATGATGCGACAAACTGATGAAGATCACGCAACAATTTTTCCCACCAGTAACAAGAAGAAATGAGTTGTTGTGTATGAGTTTCACCAGGATGTCCAGGAGAAAGAGTGAGCCCAGGTTATAATGCAATCACGAAACTGACTACATACGTATCTCTTGTTGGCAGGACACCACTTTGAGAGCTTTGTCAATATTTTCATCTATTTCCCAACAAATTGGTGCTGCAATTTTCTTGGGAGGCAACATGCTCTCTGGTGTGTCCTTGATAGGAGTCTCCTCACTAACACATTCTTGACAGGGCGTCTGCTTTACCATTACCTGTACTGGGTCTGTAAGTAATGGAAAACTGAAAGTGACTAAAAACCACAAGGACCAACGAGTCTGACAGGGATTAAGCTATTTAGCTGAATGAAGATATTCCAGATTCTTGTAATCGGTGAGAACTAAGCATGAGCATGTAGCTCCCTCTAACTGGTGACAATTCCCTATTCCAATGCCATAATTATGTACTGCTGGTATGAGTTTGTGTGAGTAGAACACAATAGGATGTATCTTAAGAGGGGAACCTACGTGTTGGGATAGAACAGCTCCCACCCCAGAAGCATCAACCTCTGTAACAAATGGTTTAGAAGGGTCTGGATGTTGGAGAATGGGAGCTGAGGTGAACGGTGACTTTAAGGTGTTGAATGCTTTCTCAGCTTGGGGTTTTTTTAGCATTATCCTGAAGAAGGGCAGTTAATGGGGCAGCGATACAACTATAACCACAAATAAATCTGTGATAAAATTTCATGAAGCTAAGAAAACGCTGCAAACCTTTGAGAGAGGTAGGTACAGGCCAATTCAAAACTGCCTCGACCTAAGAGTCATCCATAGTGACTTCATCAGAACTTAATATAAACCGAAACAATGCGAATGGCAAATGAAATTCACATTTCTCGCCTTTGTTCTAGCCCTATGTAGGCTGTAACAAATCTAACTAACATTTCTCTTAGGATGTCGTTGATGAAAGCTTGAAAGCCAGACCGAACAGCATTATTACTAATTATTTGTAGTGCCCTCTAATGGTAATGAAAGCAGTCTTTCACTTATCACCCTTCCTAATTCTAACAAGGCTGTATGCACTACACAGTTCCAATATAGTGAAGATGGTAGCACATCTAAGCTGTTCTAAAGTTACCAGAACTAAAGGCCCAGGATAAGGATAACTTCTAGTGACCTGATTAAGACCTGTGTAATCAAAACTGAGCCCACCATCCTTCTTTTTCACAAAGAAGCCAGCATCTGCTGTTGAGGTAAAAGGATAAATAAATCCCTGCGCTAGAGCCTCCTCAACATTTTTCCCCATGGCCTTCACCTCTGCTTGCGTAAAAGGATATATTCCAGATCTAGGAGGAATAGCACCCTCAATAAGCTAGAGACTGCTGGATAAAATTGCCTTCGGCTCCAAAGTCAAAGGCTGAAAAAGCATGAATAGAATTGAGGCAGCACAGGGTCACAGGTAACGAACAATTTTGTAACCAACCCCTTGGTGGGAGCACGTTTTCCTGGGGTTGGTGCCTGAGATCTAAAGTGTGATCAGTAACGTATACTAAATTACAAACACCAACTTCTGTATTTAATAAATATGTTTTGAACACACCACGTATTGAAGGGATGTTTGTGAGTTCACACCCATCTGAGGCTGAAAGTTTCATTTCCTGAAAGCTAGGAGGAACTGTATGACTATTTATGACTGTATATGCATATGTTAATACATAGTCATAAATACAGTAATACAGTTCCTTCTTGCTTTTAGGAAATTAAACTTTCAGGCTTTAGACGGGTGCAAACTCACAAACATCACTTCAATACACAGTGAATTCAAAACAAATCATTTTAACTTCAGAAATGTCTCATCTTCTGGCACCTTCATCAGAACACAGAGCATCCTGTCTGTATATGTTGACAAGAATCCCATATGGAAAAAAATATGTGGACATATATTTTTGTATATTTGAAATACATGAAAAATACATTGCAATCCATACTAAAATACCATGAATTCAAACATTAAAATGTTTTTCAGAACATATTGCAAAATTAAGCAAAAAAATGTTCAAATTCATTTATTTTAAAGTATATGGGGATATACTGCACATAGAAATGTACCATACAAAAGTGAATGTATTCATCAAATATGTTTGAAAATGTATGAAAATATCCCATTGATTCCATTGTTTATTTTCTGATTTTCTCAGTATTTTCTCAGTAACTCTGACGGTGACTTGGCAGGAATTAGTTGTCATTGAATCATGCTGTAGGGAATCCATGGCTCCAAATTATGTTAAAAGAACAAGAGTAAATGAACTGACAACAATCTTTCCAGTGATGAAGGCAATATGTTATTACACTGTAAAAAATGCTGTAAAAGTTATTGCTAGTAAGGTACTGTAGATATGCATTACTGCGTTGTGCTTTTCTTTACAATTCCCTAAGTTCTACATATTAACCAGGCAATTATGAGGAACAAGCTCCAGATATTTATTTTGGGTAACACGATACCAAATTCCAAGACAGTCTAACTAAATTACACTGAAATGCCAAGTAGATTCTAGACATTCACTGGATTAGTGAGGCCTTCAGCCTGATTGAATGCATCAGTGAATTAGTGTGGTCTTCATGAGTGGAATCCAGAGCTTTGGCCCAGAAGGAACCCACTTTAACATGCTTGCAGTAAATTACAATGTCAGTGGTGATTTTTTTATAGTTCAGGTTTATGATTCTTTAGGTTTATGTTTCCAGGTTTATGATCTTTCCCAGACAGGGACTAAACCTAGTCCTCAGTAATATTTCTTTTCAATATAAAATCTATTTAGAATGCTGTGTAGTCCAGGGCTAGGCCTAATACCTGCTGAGGAAACCTACTCAGAATGTAATACTTGAAACATACTTGATGTGACTAAGATTATTCAAATGACATAGAATCTATTAGCCATCAATTGATCAAGGCATCAATTTCATTTTAATTAATTTATTCATTTTGTAAAATTCAGATGACAAATTAATGTGAGATTTGCCAGAAGGGCTTTGTTTTTTGTATCTTTTTTTTGTGGGTTTTGGTTTTTGTGCTAAATAAAACAGAAATGGCTGTTGAGTCAGCTTATTGAAAGGGCTTTGTCAGGCTCAGACAGAATTCAGACGCTCACAAACCACGCTTAGGTAAAAAGGGTTTATTAACAAAGGGAGAATCCGTAATCAAGGTCAGCCAGTCCAATGTCAAAAACCAGTACACCAAAACAGGAAATGTGAAGAGAGTCCAAAAAGCAATGTCCACAAAACAGAAACAGGGTCAAACCAGAACTTACAACAATACTGAGAGGGCAAGGCAAAAAGGCAAGGTCAAAGAAAACAAAGCAAGATTCATGCACAAAATAGCAAACAGACAAAATGGAAGGCTCAGTAAGGCTCTGATAACAAAGCCATTACTTAGCACTGAACTAAGCTAAAGCTAAAGCTTATATACTAACAGGTAAACAAAACAAAGAACAGGTGAGAGCGATCAGTAGTCAGGTGAGGCAGAACATTAGAGAGTCATGTGATCGGGAGTGGGGTTCTGGGAAATGGAGTTTGGAGGCTGGGAGGCAGAGACAGTGGGAACGGAGGGAAGCGTGACAGGCTTCCTTACATTTGCATTTTCTCTCCCGTTTCCTTTAGGATTAGTGAACAATGAGCTGTTGACAGTTTTGAAACTAAAATGAGAGGAAACATCATCAGCAGCAGAGCTTTCATCCTTTCTGCTCTCTGGATAGGTGAGAAACATCAGCCAACATTTTCACTTCATCAAACAGGGACAAATGCAGTAAAGCTGTCCTGGGTGGTATGAATCAACAGAGCAAGTGAAAGTCACAGGATATTTGTCATGAATGTAAAAATAAGAATGTAGAGACACTCTAAATTATCACAAATAGTAATGACATTTTTTCTGCCTAGGATGCTGGTCAGTTCTGGTCAGAGCACAGGTAAGACCATCTCTCTGTCTAAATGTCTATCTAAACGTAAAAATGCTTTTATTACATGTTCATATACTTAACATGAAGAATAACTAAATAAAGGCAAACTGTACAAGTCATATTTTTGTTGTGCTTTCTTTCAGTGCAATTCAACCACTGGCAATGGTAAGAGTAGTTAAACATTTAATAAAGCCACTAATACTGCTAAAACTGTTATAATAGGATTTTATAATGGGTGAGGAATCAGTGAAAACATATAGCCAAGATTTTTTTAATATAAATTTTGCAAAAAATGTTTAAAATATAAATTCCATTAGATTGTCAGCTAGGTTCTACAGAATTGAAAAATTGATTAAAGATTCATCAGAGGGACGTTTTATCCCAGGTAGAGGGGCATTTTTCTGTGTATTTGTGGTATAAAAACAGAATTAATTGGCATTCCGTTTTAGTTATTTGCAGGTTTATTCATCATCATCCTGTACCTGTTAGTTTTACAGTAAAATGGTCATTACTCTTAAGGGGCTTTTCCACCTATTTTGCACTGTACAGGTCATGTTTCTGATATGAGAATTTACCCTTTGTTGAGTCCCTTTCCTCTTGATTACTGTTGCTATGTCAGACAAGCCTTTGTCCATGTTGAAGGTTGTGATCTCTCACCATAGGAATAGAATCATGAAGACAGGCCAATTCCTAAAGATCACAGTTAAAAAGGGAGAGGCCTCATCAAATAAGTTTGGCACACATAGATGACATCAATATAATAAGCATACCATAGAACAAATAGTTTAACTTATATTTGAGCTATTTTTGTAGAGTAAATGGTAACTTAACCTTCTAATTTTTTATGGAGTTTGACCACCACTGGTGTTTTCTATATTACTGTGAAACAGTTTAAATCACAAACAATGAAATGCATTTGTAATAGTTAAAAAAAATGTATAACCACCCCAGGAACATTGAGTCCAGTGACATGCAGTCCAGACTCCAGGTGCGTGATCTTTTTTGTTTTTGATTTGTCAAAATATTGAATGGTATTTTATGTCAATTTTCATGTTTTTGATCACAATTTCTATGACACAATTTCTAAGTACAGTGTCTGTACTTCCATTGTCAGTACAACAACTGGTTATGTCATCAACACCAGTGTCAGTGCCACTGCCAGTCCAAACAACAACAACCCCATTGCTAATCTCAGCACTGCCACTCGTAACACCACAACTGGAAATGTGGACATTACCAGCATCAGTGCCAACACTGCAAGCCTCAACACCAATGTCACTCCAGCTGCCAGTGTCAGCACCACCCTCACCATGGCTAATGTCAGCACTGCCACTAGAAACACCACAACTGGCAATGGCGATAACACCAGCATCAGTGCCACAACCGCAATACTCAACACAAGTATCACTCCCACTGCCAGTATAAACGCCACAATGACCTTTGCTAGTGTCAGTACTCCCATTGTCAGTACCACAACTGGTTATGTCAGCAACACCACTGTCAGTGCCACTGTGGCAAGCCAGAACACCACTGTCAGTCCCACTGACAGTCTAAGCAACAACAACACCATTGCTAGTGTCAGCACTGCCACTCATAACACCACAACTGGCAGTGTGGACATCAACAGCATCAGTGCCAACACTGCAAGCCTCAACACCAATGTCACTTCCACTGCCAGTGTAAAAACTACTATCACCACTGCTAGTGTGAGTTCAGCCATTGTCAATACAACAACTGGTAATATCAATAACATCAGTGTCAGTGCCAATACTGCAAGCCAGAACAACACTGTCAATCCCACTGCCAATCTACACATCACCACCACTGCTAGTGTCAGCACTGCAACTTTTTTTAACACCACAAATGTCGACAACAACACCATAACTGCGACCACTGCAAGCCTCAACACCAAGGTCACATCCACTGCCACTATCACCATTGCTAGTGTCAGCACAGCCCCACTAAACATCACACATAGCAACGTCAATGCCACCATCAGTGCTACGAATGCAAGCGCCTACACCAATGTCACTCCGGCTCCCAGTGGTAACACCACCCTCACCATTGTTAATGTCAGCACTGCCACTCTTAACACAACAACTGGCAAGGTGGACATCACCAGCATCAGTGCCAACACTGCAAGCCTCAACACCAATGTCATTCCAGCTGCCAGTGTCAACACCACCCTCACCATTGCTAATGTCAGCACTGCCACTAGTAACACCACAACTGGCAATGGCCATTACACCAGCATCAGTGCCACCACTGCAATACTCAACACGAGTGTCACTCCCACTGCCAGTGTAAACGCTACCATCACCATTGCTAGTGTCAGCACTGCCACTCATGACACCATAACTGGCAATGGCAATAACACCAGCATCAGTGCTACAACTGCAATACTCAACACAAGTGTCACTCCCACTGCCAGTGTAAACACCACCATTGCCTCTGCTAGTGTCAGTACTTCCATTGTCAGTACCACAAATGGTTATGTCAACAACACCAGTGTCAGTGCCACTGTGGCAAGCCAGAACACCACTGTCAGTCCTACTGCCAGTCTAAGCAACAACAACACCACTGCTAGTCTCAGCACTGCCACTCGTAACACCACAACTGACAATGGCGATAACACCAGCATCAGTGCCAACACTGCAATACTCAACACGAGTGTCACTCCCACTGCCAGTGTAAACGCCACTACCGCCTTTGCTAGTGTCAGTACTTCCATTGTCAGTACCACAACTGGTTATGTCAACAACACCAGTGTCAGTGCCACTATGGCAAGCCAGAACACCACTGTCAGTCCTACTGCCAGTCTAAACAACAACAACACCATTGCTAGTGTCAGCACTCCCACTCGTAATTCCACAACTGGCAGTGTGGACATCACCAGCATCAGTGCCAACGCTGCAAGCCTCAACACCAATGTCACTTCCACTGCCAGTGTAAACACTATTATCACCACTGCTAGTGTGAGTTCAGCCATTGTCAATAACACAACTGGTAATATCAATAACATCAGTGTCAGTGCCAATACTGCAAGCCAGAACAACACTGTCAATCCCACTGCCAATCTACACATCACCACCACTGCTAGTGTCAGCACTGCAACTTTTTTTAACACCACAAATGTCGACAACAACACCATGACTGCAACCACTGCAAGCCTCAACACCAATGTCACATCCACTGCCTCTATCACCATTGCTAGTGTCAGCACAGCCCCTCTGAACATAACACATAGTAACGTCAATGCCACCATCAGTGCTATGACTGCAAGCGCCAGCACCAATGTCACTCCGGCTCCCAGTGTCAACACCACCCTCACCATTGCTAATGTCAGCACTGCCACTTTTAACACCACAACTGGCAATGGCGATAACACCAGCATCAGTGCAAATAATGCAATACTCAACACAAGTGTCACTCCCACTGCCAGTGTAAACACCACCATTGCCTTTGCTAGTGTCAGTACTCCCATTGCCAGTACCACAACTGGTTATGTCATCAACACCAGTGTCAGTGCCACTGTGGCAAGCCAGAACACCACTGTCAGTCCCACTGCCAATCTAAGCAACAACAACACCATTGCTAGTGTCAGCACTGCCACTCGTAACACCACAACTGGCAGTGTGGACATCACCAGCATCAGTGCCAACACTGCAAGCCTCAACACCAATGTCACTCTGGCTCCCAGTGTCAACACCACCCTCACCATTGCTAATATCAGCACTGCCACTCGTAACACCACAACTGGCAATAGTGAGAACACCAGCATCAGTGCCACAACTGCAATACTCAACACAAGTGTCACTCCCACTGCCAGTGTAAACGCCACCATCACCTTTGCTAGTCTCAGCACTGCCACTCGTAACACCACAACTGGCAATGGTGAGAACATCAGCATCAGTGCTACAACTGCAATACTCAACACAAGCGTCACTCCCACTGCCAGTGTAAACACCACCATTGCCTTTGCTAGTGTCAGTACTTCCATTGTCAGTACCACAACTGGTTATGTCAACAACACCAGTGTCAGTGCCACTGCCAGTCCAAGCAACAACAACACCATTGCTAGTGTCAGCACTGCCACTCGTGACACCACAACTGGCAGTGTGGACATCACCAGCATCAGTGCCAACACTGCAAGCCTCAACACCAATGTCACTCTGGCTCCCAGTGTCAACACCACCCTCACCATTGCTAATATCAGCACTGCCACTCGTAACACCACAACTGGCAATAGTGAGAACACCAGCATCAGTGCCACAACTGCAATACTCAACACAAGTGTCACTCCCACTGCCAGTGTAAACGCCACCATCACCTTTGCTAGTCTCAGCACTGCCACTCGTAACACCACAACTGGCAATGGTGAGAACATCAGCATCAGTGCTACAACTGCAATACTCAACACAAGCGTCACTCCCACTGCCAGTGTAAACACCACCATTGCCTTTGCTAGTGTCAGTACTTCCATTGTCAGTACCACAACTGGTTATGTCAACAACACCAGTGTCAGTGCCACTGCCAGTCCAAGCAACAACAACACCATTGCTAGTGTCAGCACTGCCACTCGTAACACCACAACTGGCAGTGTGGACATCACCAGCATCAGTGCCACCACTGCAAGCAACAACACCTCAGTCGCACCCACTGCCAGTTTCAACACAACCATTACCATTCTGAGTGTCAGCACTGCTACTCGAAACACCACAACTGGCAATGTGGATAACACCACTATCAGTCCCACAACTGCAATACTCAACACAAGTGTCACTCCCACTGCCAGTGTAAACGCCACCATCACCTTTGCTAGTGTCAGCACTGCCACTCGTAACACCACAACTGGCAATGGTGAGAACACCAGCATCAGTGCTACAACTGCAATACTCAACACAAGCGTCACTCCCACTGCCAGTGTAAACACCACCATTGCCTTTGCTAGTGTCAGTACTTCCATTGTCAGTACCACAAATGGTTATGTCAACAACACCAGTGTCAGTGCCACAGTGGCAAGCCAGAACACCACTGTCAGTCCCACTGACAGTCTAAACAACAACAACACCATTGGTAGTGTCAGCACTGCCACTCATGACACCATAACTGGCAATGGCAATAACACCAGCATCAGTGCTACAACTGCAATACTCAACATGAGTGTTACTCCCACTGCCAGTGTAAACACCACCATTGCCTTTGCTAGTGTCAGCACGTCCATTGTCAGTACCACAAATGGTTATGTCAACAACACCAGTGTCAGTGCCACAGTGGCAAGCCAGAACACCACTGTCAGTCCCACTGCCAGTCTAAGCAACAACAACACCATTGCTAGTCTGAGCACTGCCACTCGTAACACCACAACTGACAATGGCGATAACACCAGCATCAGTGCCAACACTGCAATACTCAACACGAGTGTCACTCCCACTGCCAGTGTAAACGCCACTTCCACCCTTGCTAGTGTCAGTATTTCCATTGTCAGTACCACAACTGCTTATGTCAACAACACCAGTGTCAGTGCCACTATGGCAAGCCAGAACACCACTGTCAGTCCCACTGCCAGTCTAAACAACAACACCATTGCTAGTGTCAGCACTGCCACTCATAACACCACAACTGGCAGTGTGGACATCACCAGCATCAGTGCCAACGCTGCAAGCCTCAACACCAATGTCACTTCCACTGCCAGTGTAAACACTATTATCACCACTGCTAGTGTGAGTTCAGCCATTGTCAATAACACAACTGGTAATATCAATAACATCAGTGTCAGTGCCAATACTGCAAGCCAGAACAACACTGTCAATCCCACTGCCAATCTACACATCACCACCACTGCTAGTGTCAGCACTGCAACTTTTTTTAACACCACAAATGTCGACAACAACACCATCACTGCAACCACTGCAAGCCTCAACACCAATGTCACATCCACTGCCTCTATCACCATTGCTAGTGTCAGCACAGCCCCACTAAACATCACACATAGCAACGTCAATACCACCATCAGTGCTACGACTGCAAGCTCCAACACCAATATCACTCCGGCTCCCAGTGTCAACACCACCCTCACCATTGCTAATGTCAGCACTGCCACTCGTAACACCACAACTGGCAATAACGATAACACCAGCATCAGTGCCAATAATGCAATACTCAACACGAGTGTCACTCCCACTGCCAGTGTAAACACCACCATTGCCATTGCTAGTGTCAGTACTTCCATTGTCAGTACCACAACTGGTTATGTCATCAACACCAGTGTCAGTGCCACTGTGGCAAGCCAGAACACCACTGTCAGTCCCACTGCCAGTCTAAACAACAACAACACCATTGCTAGTGTCAGCACTGCCACAACTGGCAGTGTGGACATCACCAGCATCAGTGCCAACACTGCAAGCCTCAATACTAATGTCACTCCAGCTCCCAGTGTCAACACCACCCTCATCATTGCTAATATCAGCACTGCCACTCGTAACACTACAACTGGCAATGGTGAGAACACCAGCATCAGTGCTACAACTGCAATACTCAACACAAGTGTCACTCCCACTGCCAGTGTAAACACCACCATCACCTTTGCTAGTGTCAGTACTCCCATTGTCAGTACCACAACTGGTTATGTCAACAACACCACTGTCAGTGCCACTGTGGCAAGCCAGAACACCACTGTCAGTCCCACTGACAGTCTAAACAACAACAACACCATTGCTAGTGTCAGCACTGCCACTCGTAACACCACAACTGGCAGTGTGGACATCACCAGCATCAGTGCCAATACTGCAAGCCTCAACACCAATGTCACTTCCACTGCCAGTGTAAACACTACTATCACCACTGCTAATGTGAGTTCAGCCATTGTCAATACAACAACTGGTAATATCAATAACATCAGTGTCAGTGCCAATACTGCAAGCCAGAACAACACTGTCAATCCCACTGCCAATCTACACATCACCACCACTGCTAGTGTCAGCACTGCAACTTTTTTTAACACCACAAATGTCAACAACAACACCATCACTGCGACCACTGCAAGCCTCAACACCAATGTCACATCCACTGCCACTATCACCATTGCTAGTGTCAGCACAGCCCCTCTGAACATAACGCATAGCAATGTCAACGCCAACATCAGTGCAACGACTGCAAGCGCCAACATCAATGTCAATTCCATTGCCAGTCTAAACACCATCACCACCATTGCTAGTGTCAGCACTGCCACTTTTAACAACACAACTGGCAATTTCAACAACACCAACATCAGTGCCACAAATGCAAGCCTCAGCACCACTGTCACTCCCACTGCTGCGTTCAACTCCACCATGGCTTTTGCTAGTGGCAACACTGTTATCACCACAAATGGGAATATCAATAACACCACCATCAGTGCCACCACTGCAAGCCAAAATATCACTGTCAGTCCTAATGCTAGTGTAAACATGACCATAACCACTGCAAGGGTCAGCACTGCCTCTATTAACACCACAAATGTCAATGTGAACAACATCACCATTGGTGCCACCACTGCAAGCCACAGCATCAATGTCCCTCCCACTGTCGGTTTCAATGCCACCATCCCTATTGCTAGTGGCAGCACTACCACTCTTAACACCACAACAGGCAATGTTGACAACATCACCATAAGTGCCACCACTGCAAGCCAGAGCACCACTGTCAGTCCCACTGCCAGGTTCAGCACCACTGTCACCTTTTCTAATATCAGTACTGCCCCTCTTAACACCACAACTGGCAATGTCAACAACACCACCATTAGTGCCACCACTGCAAGCCTCAACACCAGTGTCACTTCCAATGTCAGTTTCAACACCACTGTCACTATTGCTGGTGTCAGCACTCCCACTCTTATTACCACAACTGGCAATGTTGACAACACCACCATTATTTCCACCGCTGCAAGCCAGAACTCCACTGTCCATCCCACTGCAATTGTAAACACCTCCATCCCCATTGCACATGTCAGCACTCCCACTATGAACTCCACAACTGGCAATGCTGAGAACACCACTTTTAGTGCCAACACTGCATACCTCAACACCACCGTCAGTCCCACTGCCAGGTTCAACAGCACTGTCGTCTTTGCTAGTGATAGTACTGCTTCTGTTTACACCACAACTGGCAATGTCAACACCACCAACATCAGTGCCAGCACTACAAGCCAGAACATCACTGTTAGTCCCACTGCCAGTGTAAACACCACCATCAGTATTGAACATATCAGCAATACCACTCTTAACACCACAATTGCTAATGTGGAGAACACCACCATTAGTGCCACCACTTCAAGTCTCAAAATCTATGCCACACCCAGTGCCAGTGTAAACACCACAATCCCCTTTGCTAGTATCAGCACTGCCAGTGTTAATACCACAACTAGTAATGTTAACAACACCAATGTCAGTGCAAATATTGCAAGTCAGAACTCCAGCATTATTACCCCTGCCATTGTAAACACCACCATCACCATTGCTGATGTCAGCAGTGCCACTGTTACCTCCAGAACTGGCAATGCTAACACCACCATTAGTGCCACCAATGCAAGCCTCAACACCAGTGTCAGTCCCACTGTCAATTTCAACACAACCATCAATATTGCTAGTGGCAGCACTCCCACTCTTATTACTACAATTGGCAAGGTCGACAACACCACCATTATTTCCACCACTGCAAGCCAGAACACCACTGTCAGTCCCACTGCAATTGCAAACACCTCCATCCCCATTGCACATGTCAGCACTGCCACTATGAACACCACAACCGGCAATGTTGGGAACACCACCTTTAGTGCTAGCACTGCATACATCAACACCTATGTCACTACCACTGCCAGTGTAAACACCAACATCACCACTGCTAGTGTGAGGACTGCCACTGTTAACATCACACCTGGCAATGCCAACAACACTAGCATCAGCGCCACCACTGCAAGCCTCAACACCATTGCCACTTCCACTGCCAGTTTAAACACCACTATCACTATTGCTAGTGTCAACACTCCCACTTTTAACACTACAACTGGTAATGTGGACAACACCAACACCAGTGCCACCACTGCAAGCCTCAGCACCACCATCACTCCCACTGCCAGGTTCAACAGCACTGTCATCCTTGCTAGTGCCAGCACTGCCTCTGTTTACACCACAACTGGCAATGTCAACACCACCACCATCAGTGCCAGCACTACAAGCCAGAACATCACCTTTGCTAGTGCCAGCACTGCCAGTGTTAATACCACAACTAGTAATTTTAACAACACCAATGTCAGTGCAACTATTTCAAGTCAGAACACCAGCATTAGTCCCCCTGCCATTGTATACACCACCATCGCCCTTGCCACTGTCAGCCATGCCACTCTTAACACCTCCACTGGCAATGTCAACAACTCCACCATCCATGCTACCACTGCAAGCTACAGCAACACTGTCAGTCCTACTGTCAGCCCCATCATCACCATTTCTAGTGTCAGTACTCCCGTTGTCAATACCACAACTGGCCAAGTTGTCAACACCACCATCAGTGCCACCACTGCAAGCTTCAACACCAATGTCACTCCTACTGCCAGTGTAAAAACTACCATCACCATTGCTAGTCTTAGCACTAGTGACAACACCAGTCTCAGCACCACCAATAGGAGTCTCAACACCACACTTCCAAGCAAAAATACCCCTGTTCCCACTGATGCACCTACCATTGCCATTACCACAGCTGGAATTACCATTAGCTCTAACAATGCTACACCAGCCACCGTCACTACCAGCACTAGTGTCAGCACTGGTGCAAGTACCATCATCACCACTGGTGGAATTACCTCCTCTGCCACCATCACCAGTGTCACCACCACTACTCCCACTACCATGGCACCACAGATCATTTGTCAAGGTGTAAATAGGTAAACTATGTTTGTTGAAATTAAAAGTAAGATGATATTCCCGAAAAAGATTAATATAAGATTATTAAGTTTTCACAGTTATACACTCGAGAATCAGCTCTCGTCTGGAAGCGTACCTGCTGGGCTCTGCAACTTCAACATCTCTGAATATGCCTGTTCATCAGTGAGTTTTTGAATAAAGCAAAAATAAATAAATTCATAGGTTTGATCTTTTTAGGTATCAGGTTTTCAGTCATACACCTGCCTATATTCTTTCTTCTTCTTTTGTCTTTGCTTGTATGTTCTAGTCTCCTAAGGTTGCTGCTTTGTCCTCTGATGATCTCGTCACACTACTGACATGCAAACTGCCAAGCAGTGTGGTCTACTCTAAAGAAATTTGGATGCTTTTCCTCCAGAAGTTTGCAGCACCTCTCCCGGCAGCTCTGGATAAGTACTCCAGCTTGGTATGGGATGTTCACTTGTGTTGCAATAAAACTAAACATTTTGTCTGAATTGTACATTGAAATATCCACTGTCTCTTACAGACCCCCAGCATCTCTCTGCCTGACCCATCTTTCCTTAATGCCATTGGAGATGTGATAGTCAAGAACTTTAGTTCTGCACAGCTTAGGGATGCTGTTTTCATCACCCAGTGGTTCCAGAATAGGCTCAGACCATTTTTATCATCAGTGCCTGCAAACTTCCTTTCCATTCTCAGTTCTAAGAACTTCAGCTGTGAGACCTACCAAGTTGTGTAAGTATGTATAGTGGAAATGTTGAACATTACAGATGTTACAAATGTTTTTAAAGAAAAAGCAATCTAATCCTTCACAACATCTGATCTCTTCTTATCCAATCTAGGGTAAAAGCATTTAGTTCACAAGAACCAATCATGAAAGATCAGCAAAAATTATCTGTCATCAATACTTTCATCATGCCTTTCCTCAAAGGTAATTAAAAAGAATGGCATATTAACATTTATTTTCTTTTTGTCTTATATTGTGTGACAATACTTACTTGTTCAGTGGAATGAAACTAACTGAATGTAATGTTTTATATGTAATAATATTCAGTCTGTGTAACATGCTCTGGTATGCTTCAGGTCAGTCCTGTGTGCTGCCAGGGAGCAATGACTCAGACTGGCTGGTGAAGAATTTTGGCCTATTCAGGAGTTTTGCTTCATTTTCTGATTTCATCAGTCTGAAGAGTGACTTCAATGGAGTGAGTTACACAACATTCTAATGTGTGCATTTACAGTGGTGCATTCATGAAGCATGTCATGCTTGTCTAAGCTGGTCTATGCTGGTTTATGCTGGTCTAGTGCTGGTTGACCAGCATACCAGCATCCAAAACACAACATTTGCTGTTTTTGCTGGTGATCAGTATATCAACTGTCATTGTTGCTGACCAGCATACCTGCATCCACAGCAAAACATATGCTGATTTTGCTGGTGACCAGCCATGATGGTCTATACTGTGTTTTCTAGCAGGGAATCATTGATTTTGCTAATTGTATGCCACACTAAAGCATCTAATTCAGCAAATTAACTACATTGCTTGCTAGTTACTTTGTTACTTAGCTTATTACATACTTCTTAGCTGATATGAAATGATATACTGCTCTACAATCACACAAATGTCTTCAGTTGAACGGAATCATGTGTGAAATACAAGTTTATTTTTTCTTTGTCAAGCATGAAAATATGAGCAAAATCACCCATTCTGTAAAAGCAAGCATAAATGCTAGTAGTGTTAGCATTAACTGCTTAACTAGCTCACCATAGCAAACTCTTTATAAAGTAAAAGTTCTAAATCCTGCTGAGAAAAAGACCATTAGATCATTAACCTGGTGTTGTTGCTTTCTAATGGGAATTGGCATAATGCTTTCCATCAGAGGCCACTACTTTCCTGTAGGACACCTGTAGATCCCATTAGAAAACCAACTGAACTGATGGCCATTGAAAAAATTTCCAGTTTTCTGGTGCCAAAGATTCCAGTATGTTTTGCAGTGGAAAAACACCCTAGAGTTGAAGGATTATACAAGCTGACCTTTTTCGGTTGTTCAAAGTACTTTTACTTGAAGATTGTTTGTTGCAGAACTAGTGATCTATGATCTATGAAGTGTGTGATATTTTCGTTCACTCCTTCCCACACTTCCCTCACTTTTATCTCTCATAACTGGTTCTCTCTCCTCTCACACATACTCTCTCTCTCTTAGGTGAATGCAGCAGAGGTTCTAACTTCATCCCAGTTGGCAGAACTTTGCTCCGACCCCACTCGACTTCGTGGTCCCCAGGATGTAAACACTGTGATGGCGGCTGTCAGTCCCGAACCAATTCACCTCCTTCTTTGACAACCTCACTCTAGCATCCAGGTACTTATCACGTCTCTGTGTTAGATAGCATGTTCATAGCTCTCTAGACAGACACTCACACATTGATAGTTCATCCAGATCTTGTGGTTAATTCAAGCACTGAAACTTGGTATAGAGGTTTTAGCATCTCACAAATGACTTTGTCTTGTGCTTTCCATGCACTTTGCTTTTCCATGTACTTTTCTTTTCCAGAGATTTAAAAAAAAGTAGTGCAACAAGCAAAAACGCATAGCAAACTATAATTACATAAAAATCCACACAGCGGCATAATGCTATCTCAGTATGAGAGCGATGGGCCGAAGTAATCGAAAATTGTCAATGATGGACAAGTGACTAGATGGCGATGTGTAAAAGGTGATGATCATAGAAAAAGGAATGAGAGAGAATTAGAGGATATTAACAACTTGTAAATGTGTAAATGTGAAACTGGGGTTCATGTTTAAAAAGTATGTGGCCACACAAATACTCTTTTTTTTTGTTTGAGAGGGAAAGAGAGAGAGAGGATTAGCATGCAAGTCACTGTGAACCCACACCAGAAGGAGCTCAATAATGCATATGTTTGCAGTAATGTTTATTAGAACAAGTGAAGTAGTTTTCAAAAGATGATACACTAAAATAGAATAGAAAATAGGTCAAAGCTGCAGCGGACTGCATGTATTTGTTATAATCAATAATCACAATTTTCTAACCAAAAAATGTCATGAGACTTATTATTAAATATTGCCAAAGCCTACTCAGAACATACCACTAAGTCTAAAATGGGCTCCAGCAGCTGAAACCATGTGGGGTCCAAAAGTAAACTTTGAGAAAGCCTTCTCCTGTAGTCACAGGAGTATGACAAATGGACTGCTGAGGACTGGCCAGAAGCTGCCTGGACATTCAAATCCAGTGTCCTTTTTCATCATGCAAATGGAAGAATCAGGAGCAATGGGAGTCCATGCAGTCACTGTGCTTGATGTGAGGCCAGTGTTATCTATGATGGGGGAATGTTTTCCTGGTACACATTAAGGGACCGAATCAAGAACATACTTGCTTTATTGACTACAGTTTATCCAGTCTAACAACACTCGGATGGACATTTTCAGCTACATTTTCCAGCCACATTTATGCCACATTTTAAGTTCCGTATCCTCACCTAATGGTTTCAGGAACATGTCAGCTGGCTTTCATTGATTTGGTGGCCTGCACAGTCCCTAGATTTCAGCCCTATTGAGCATTTTTGGGATGAAGTGGAAAGAGTTATTTACAGGAAAACTGCAACTGTCATATTTGCAACTGCACAATTTAACTATTCCCCCACTCGACATATGCAGCACCTTTTAGAATCTACGCTGAAGTGAATTGATCTAAAGCAGAAAGAGTGTAAACAGGTCAAAAATTGGTCACAATACTCACTATCAAGTCCAAAACTGCTTCTGGAAGCATTTTCAGAACAAGCACTGATCGTCTGGAGCTTCATGGATTGGGTTTTATGTGAACCATGGTGGCCAAGCAGCCTAAGATCACCAGGTGCAATGCTGAGCATCAACTGGAGCAGAGTGGAAAAAAAAACTTCTGGGGTGATGAATCACGCTCCTCCATCTGGCAGTCTGAAATGCGAATGTGGGTTTCAACGATGTTGACTGTAAAGTTTGGTGGAGGAGGAATAATGGTTCTGTTTTTGTTGGCCTCCTTGCATCTAGTGAAAGAAAATCAAAAGTGTAGGTGCAACAAATAAGCTGGCCAGGTGTTGTAGACTGTGCTTTAGGTAGTGCTGTTTTGGTACATATAATCTCTTCTCTTTGTATGTTTGGTAAAATGTCTTTTTTCTCAGCGGAATGCATCGCTGTACTCCACTGCGGTGAAGGAAGCTTTCCTCCAGGCAGCTCTGGTGAGAGGTGGACTGTCCTCTGCAGCACTGCCTGATTCAGAAGTGCTGCAGTGGGTGAATGTTCGGCTCAGGCCCCTCCTCTCCAGCCTCTCCTCTGCAGATGTAACACCATACTTCAACATCATCAGAGGCAGAAGCTGCAACCTCATCCAGACAGCGTAAGAAATTCTTTAAATAAATTTGAGCAGATTTAAATGCTGTGCTTCATCTCCACTGATTGTTTAGAGCTCAGGTGTTTAGCATTGTGTGATTAACTTTTTCCTGTGCTGTAACAGAGTGAGCAGTTTGGACTCTCTGAGATCATCTTTCAACAACGACACACAGACCCAGATCTTCAGCAACATCCTGCAACTCCTCACTGGTATAACATGCACACTCTCATGCTCACAGAGTGCAAATTAAAAAATTTAAATACACAGTGTTTTGATTGTTTTGTGGCTGTTTTATGCTCCACAGGGCCGAATGGTCTGGGTTGCTATGGCGGCGGGAGCTTCTATGTCTTCCTCAAGAGCTCCTTCCTCAGTTTTGGATTTCCTGACCTGAGTACCTTTTTGTCCCTCATCCCAGCCAGCCGACAGCAAGAGGTACTTACATCTAGCTAGAAGCTGGAAGTTCAGCTGACGAGCAGGCCTCTCACAGTTATTACATAATCACCTGATCACAGTTACTTTTTTGTGCCAAGGTTGTTAGCTTTCAAAATTTTACGTTTACATTTCAAAACAAACTGAATGGCAGTGGAGTGTCCTCGCATCAGTTAGGTTGGTGGAAATACATATAAATAAACTGAAGAAAAGAAATGTATTAAGGCATGTCATGTCTCATATAGATAGATAGATAGATAGATACTTTATTGATTCCGAAGAAAATTTAGGAGGTACTAACTATTCCAGCTTGGAAGCAAGATAGCAAATTTGGCCACATTAAGCTTTACATTAATGCACTTTCGACTGTTGGGCCATCGTTAATATAGCTAAAGAATCAGTAAACTGCTAGTTACTAATATAATAAAGTAATCCAGTAATTCATCCAGTCAGTAATACAAACTGTAAGTCATTCTGTAATATTGGTAAGCAATAAAACAGTATAATGGGCCATTCAGTGATACTGCTAGTCAGCAATACAGCAAATGAGTCATTCATAATACTGTTACTAATGTGGCCATGAGAACTCTCAGCAATGGTGAGACTGAGTTGACTGAGTTGCTCTCCTCTCTTGTCTGTAGCTGTTGGGCTCCATCTCTCCAAGAGAACTGTATGAGTTTCTGAATGGGCCGAACACAGTCAGGAACGGGTCAGATCTCTGCACACTCCTCAACAACTACAACAGCACCAACCAGTACCTGCAGACGGTACAGCTGTGTCCTTTTTCATTCACTCATTTCTGCTGGTTCTTACTCAGTTTCTCTCTCTGGTAGTCGTTTAATGGAGTGATCCATATGTAAATCTCTCTTTTCTCTCTCTTTCTTTTTTTCCTCCCTCTGTTTCTCTGTGCAGGAGCCGGTTGTCTCTGCAGCTGTGGGCAGACAGATGTTGGGGTGCGTTTGGTCTCGTGCTCTCAGCGCCTCGTCTCAGGATGAGGTGGCTCAGTGGTTTAATGTCAGGCTGGCTCAGTACCTGCCCCTCCTCAGCTCTCAGCTCATCAGCCCCACCCAGCTTAGCAGCGCATCCTGCCTGTCATACAGGAAACTGTGAGTCTTTGTTTGGTGTAGCGTTAAACTGTTCTCTTAGCACAAATAATAACACATTTTTTTTCTGTAAAATAGTTCAGTGAAATTACTCATCATTGTATTTTGTGAGCAGGGTTTCAATCCTGGGGAACAACTATAATTACTCAGCCACTGATTTCACTCCAGCTGTTGTGTACAGCTCTATAAAGGCTTATCTGAACAGCAGTGGTAAGCACAGCTACATTACTGTATGTTTTATTTTGCGCATGTTTACGTTCATGTATGTGTCTATATGTGTATTTTTGTGGTATCTTCCAGGTGGGACTCCCCGCTGCTATAACTCCTCCAATCCCCTTCTGAACTCCACTGCCTGGTTTGCCAACAACATTGGATTCTTCATCACCTTCATCTCCCTCACTGACCTCCAGTCCTTCGTATCAAGCAGCCAGGTAACACACAGACATAGCTGCACACTTATGCCGATACCTGATCTTCAAGCATTCACCAATAATGATACTAACTCTATCCAACCTAATAAGCCTATACATCCTGATATTTACACAAATGCACTTTTTAAATATTTTATTTTGGCAAAACTGTGTTCTGTGTGAATGAATGGCATTTAAAATTCCATGTAAAATATGAAAAACTGAACTGAACAATATACACAGCAGCTTCTCCGGCTCAGCAAAATGGTGATAATGGCGATTCATATGTCGTGTACAATCGCATAAGACTCTACTGGAGTTCAATAAATACTACAGTCATTACTGGCTGTTTGGCAAACAGTATTCATGAGTCAAGCCTCAAGTAAGAAAAATTGGATATTGGATTGGATAGTCTTCGTGGCAAAACAACAGGTCTGAATTTTAATTAATAGAATACAATCACAATTTAAAACAAGGTTGCAATATTAGTCAGAAAAATTACAGGTAAAATAAAGTATGCTAAGTCTGATTGTGGCTCAAGGTCTCAACAACTCCCTCTCACGTCTGCTTAAAAGTAAACATTTTATAAACACACTTATTTCATCCAAATAAATCAAAAAAGTGACTACTGCATTGAAATCACTAAAGCACCACCCTTCATTATGAAAAAAAGAAACTCCAGAGATGATGAGGGCAGACTTTTCCTCATCATACTATCATTACTCCAAGAGACTGACTGTTCCTTTCCAAACATCTCTCTAACATTCACGCCCTTAATAAAACCTGGACTAACATTAACTCAAGTGAGTAGTACACAACAGCAGATGAGGGATTACTAAAACATCCCAGACTGACATTCAGCTACAGGGAATAACATTTGACCAGTGATTTGTAATGTAGGTCAGCTCATTCGTGGCAAACTGGTAATACTTTAAGAAGAATTCTAAGCAATATACCTCCCACTACTAGCTCCCCCCTAAAATACCGGCAATATTTTTTAATGAATATTAATGAACATTTACCACTGCTTGCCATTCTACGCGACCGCTGTGCCACTGCTTCAGTTAAGGTCCATCTATGTGCACCTAATTGCACATGTGTGTCAGAAAGTGCCTCATGATATCTGTATTCTCTATTGCAGATATTGATACCATGTTTAAGTGCCAGTATCAGAACTGATGCCAATACAGTAATGTTATTGGTGCAACATTACTTATACCTTACTGAGTCTGATTGTGTTCTGTAGATCGGTGTGTTCCTGGTAAACTCAGAGAATATTCAGCTTTTTAACAACTCAGGGATTTCATCCAACGTCACCACATACTACGGCTCACAGCTATACATCCAGAATCCTAACCTCAGTCCCCTCAGGTACCACACTACACACTAAATACTACAGCTATACATCCAGAATCCTAACCTCAGTCCCCTCAGGTACCACACTACACACTAAATACTACAGTTATACATCCAGAATCCTAACCTCAGTCCCCTCAGGTACCACACTACACACTAAATAACTACAGTTATACATCCAGAATCCTAACTTCAGTCCCCTCAGGTACCACTCTACACACTAAATACTACAGTTATACATCCAGAATCCTAAACTTAGTCCCCTCAGGTACCACACTACACACTAAATACTACAGCACACAGCTATACATCCAGAATCCAAACGTCAACCCTCTCAGAATCCTCTCAGAATATACAACAAACATTTTGTCAACCACACAGAACCTGTCCTTCGATTCTCTTATGTTTATTGCCACACATTATCTGTTTATCTACTTGTTCAGTCGTTTACCTGTTTGTGTGTAGTTTGCCAGGTGTCCTCCTGTGTGGAGCTCCTGGTTCTGCATTTGTGTCTCTGAAAGCTACAGACAGTCAGACAATCCTGGACAGCCTCAAGAAATCGTGCCAACAAATTAGTCCAGAGGTAAATCGATCAGTTAAGCTAATTTTCTCACCATTTGTGTTCCATAATCAGTCATTCAGTAATAGTGTGAGTTACCCATAATCCTCCTCTTCACTCAGGCCACAGCAGCTCTTGTGGCAAACTTCCCCACTTTGTCCGTGGAAACCATCAAGTCACTCGGCAACGAGAGCATTGGTCTGAGTGAGGGCCAGATAAGCGGTGCTACCCCCAGTGTTATTAACAGTACCCTGCCAGTACTCAGCGTCATCATAGGCTGGAACCAGGGTCAGGTCAACAACATCATCCAGAGCATCACTAACGCTGGCTTCACTGTGAGTGTACATTACACACTAGACACTACACACTGCCGTAATGCTTCATTATAATCCTGGAACCAGGGCCAGTGCAGTGCTCTCATTTAGAGCATCCACTTTTAAAGACATTACATTTATTGTATACAATGCAATACACTCTATGAGCAAGGCCAGGTCAACTCTATAATTACACCATACATTTGTGTTATTCATTCATTCATTTGTTCATCATCTTAAACATGAACTTGATCCAACTAGGATCACGGTAGCAGTAAGGAAAGGAGAGAACTTTTAACATTTTAGTGTAGAAAGTTTGTACAACCTTGTTTTCAAAAAAGGAGGAACATTGCACAAAATGTAAACAAAAACAAAATGCAGTAATGTGCAAATCATCTAAAACCCTGAAATGAATTGAATGCCCTGCGATGGCCTGGTGACAGCCGGACTCTTCTTCTGCAAACCCATGCTGTTGTGAAAGATTGTCTTGCTGAAACATGCAAGGTCTTCCTTGAAAGAGACATTGTCTGGATGGGAGAATATGTTGTTCTAAAACCTCTATATACTGATACAGCCTTTCCAGATGTGTTAGCTGCCCACGCCATAGGCACTAATGCAACCCCAAACCATGAGAGATGCAGGCTTTTGAACTGTGTGATGATAATAAGCTGGATGGTACCTCTGCTTATCACAGGACACGGCGTCCATGGTTTCCAAAAACTATTTAAAATTTTGATTCATCTGACCACAGAACAGTTTTCCATTTTGCCTCAGTCCATTTTAAATGAGCTTTGGCCCAGAGAAGACGGCGGCGTTTCTGGATTGTGTTGACATATGGCTTCTTCTTTGCACGATACAGCTTTAACTTTTTATGGCTTGAACAGCGAACTGCGTTCACAGACAATGATTTCTGGAAGTGTTCCTGAACCCATGTAATGATTTCCAGTACAGAGTCATGCCCGTTTTCAATGCAGTGCCACCTGAGGGCCCGAAGACCATGAGCATCCAATATTGACCATCTGCCTTGTCTCTTGTACAGGGATTTCTCCAGATTCTCTGAAACTTTTGATCATATTATGTACTGTAAATGATCAGATTTTCAAAGTCTTCGCAATTTTATGTTAGGGAACATTTTTCTGAAGTTGTTTCACAATTTGTAAATGCAATTTTTTGCAGATTGATGAACCTCTGCCCATCTTTGTTTCTGAGAGACTTTGCCTCTCTAAAATAGTCTTTTTATACCCAGTCATGTGAGTTAGTTGCAAATTGCTGCTCCAGTTGTTTTTTATTAGTACCACTTACTTTTCCAGCCTTTTGTTGCCCTGTCCCAACTTTTTTGAGAGTTCTAAATGACAATATTTTTCAGGAAATGGTAAAATGTCTCACTTTCAAGATCAGGTATGTGTTCTATGTTCTATTGTGAATAAAATATGAGTCTGTGAGATTTGCAAATCATTGTATTCTGTTTTTTTTACATTTATTTACATTTTATACAGTGTCCCAACTTTTTGTAAGGATTGTAAGTGAAAAGTGAAAATAGTTCAAAGACAAGTTAAATGTTGAAACTAAGACGTTTTATTGTTTTTTGAAAAATATGTATTCATTTTAATTGTCATTCCAGCACATGTTTAAAAAAAAATTAAGACAGTGGCAACAAAAGGCTGGGAAAGTTTTGTAATGCCAACAAAACATGTGGTTGAACATCTCACAACTAATTATGTTACTTGGCAACAGGTCAGTAACATGACTGAGTATAAAAAGAGCATCTCCGGGAGGCTGAGTCTTTCAGAAGGAAAGATGGACAGAGGTTCACCACCCTGTAAAAGACTGTGCGGGCAAATAGTGCAACAACTGAAGAATAACGTTTCGCAACATAAAATTGAGTCCAGAGAAATCTTTGTATTCAAGGGACAAAGCCGAAAAACAATACTGGCTGGCCACGATCTTCAATCTCTGAAGTGGCACTGCATTAAAAACAGACATGATTCTGTAGGGGAAATCACTGCATGGGCTCGGAAACACCTCTGAAAACCATTTTCTGTCAACACAATTCGTCACTCCATGCACAAGTGCACTCTACTATGCAAAGAAGAAACCATATTTAAACAGGGTGCAGAAACACCACCACCTTCTTTGGGTCTGAGCTCATTTAAGATGGACTGAGGTGAATTTGAAAAGTGTCCTGTGGTCTGACAAATTAAAATTTGATTTTTTTTTAGCTATCATGTACGCCATGTCCTCCGGGCTAAAGAGGAGAGGGACTATCCAGCTTTTTAGCAGCACACAGTTCAAAAGCCTGCAACCATGATGGTATGGGGGGCATTAGTGCACATGGAATAGCATTGTGACTTGCACATATGTGAAGGCAACATTAATGTGGAACAATATACACAGGTTACGAAGCAATGTTTGCTGTCATCCGGACAATGTATGTTTTAGGGAACTCCTTGCTTATTTCAGTATGACAATGTCAAACCACATTCTGCACATATTACTGCACAACAGTATGGCTCTGTAGTAAAAGAGTCTGGGTGCTTAACTGGGCTGCCCAATGAAAATATTTGGCGCACTATGAAGCAAAAAATGTGACAAAGGAGCCCCTGAACTGCTGAACAGCTGAAATCCTATATCAAGCAAGAGCTGGAAAACATTTCTAAATGTTCAAAACTACAGCTTAGTTCCCAAACGCTTACAGAATGTTGTTAAAAGAAGAGGTGATGGGTCTGTGTACATTCTGTTTATTTGATTTTCTTTTTAAAAACTAGTATTGAAAAACTGCAAATGGGTCGATTCTTGTTTCTGTTTCTGTTATTGTCAGTGGAAAAATCAAGAAATAGCTTTGTTTCACAATTTCACAAAACAATCATAAAACCAAAAAACAACAAACAACAATGGAATGAAGGGTTGTATTCTAGTGATTGAAATTTAGAATTTCCCATCATAAGCGGAAATAAACGTGCCGAGCGCAGGTATGGAAGCTCAGAAATCACAGAAATCAGCCCTGTCGTTCTGGTGTATTGGTTTGCTATACTACTTTTTGTTCAAGTGTTTGTATATTTGACCTGTACAAACTATATGTAAAAGAAATGATGATGGGAGCTTCGTGCTCCCAGATCAGCTGCTGATGCACTCAAGTTCAAGATGTTTTCTGTCGGTATTCTGCCTATGCATGCACGCGCATCATACAGGCGTATGAATACATTCTGTCTTTCAGTCATAATGATCAGTACTGTAGCCTCTTAGTGAAGAAGGAGACTCAGAAGAGACTGTCATTCTGCTAGAGAAGTGCTCTTTATTGACACCTGCAGAAAAAAATTCAGACCATCATAAAACAACGCTCCCAGAAGCGGAAAGAACACAAAGACCCACGGTGCAGCTCTAACGCGCCTCTAAAGCGCCTCTAAAGCTCCTTTCCCCCCAAAACCGGAGCCAGCGCTGCCGCCGCCATGGCGGGAGTCGAGTTGCGTGTCAGCACAGTTTTTTGCTAATAGAAGAAAGTCAATAAACACATATAAAATGCTATATAGCCTTCCATAATGCCAGATCTAGGCTGACCTTTTCAACACTGTACTTGATCTTTCCTGGCCTCACCATTTTTTAACCACAACAGCCTGATTTGTGAGCTCCTGTGACCATGGGTGCACTCTGCACATTTATTTTTGGTTAATTTGAATTTGAGTAAAATCGCCCCCTTATTCTATTGCTGTTTCGTTATTTAAATTTTTGATTAGTTTGTAAAATTGTAAAATGGCGCTATTTCTTGTTCCTGGACTGACACTAACAATTAAAAACGAGAATTGACCCATTTGCCATTTTTCAATACTGGATTTTGAAATGAAAATAAAACGAACAGAAGTTACAAGGACCGTGATGCAATACAGTGGTAAAGGTGCCCTCATCTCAACTTTTTTGAAATGTGCTGCTAGCATCAAATTCAAAATGGGTATAATTTTTTTTAAAAAAAACGATAAAATGTCTCAGTTTCCACATTTGGTATGTTATCTTTGTACTGTTTTCAATGAAATATAGGGTTTATATGATTTGCACATCATTGCATTCTGTTTCTGTTCATATGTGTCCCAACCTTTTTGGAAACAGAACTGTTTTGCCAAAAAAACACACTTGTAGGGTTTTTAAAGTAAGCTCAAAACCAGATTCTGCACACTAGACACACTCTGTCAGCCCTTTTAGTACACATTTCAGGGATAATATACATACTGTCATCTTCTGTGCAACCAGAAATAATCGCTAATCCTTTAGTTTAAGTGCTGTACTTAAATCTCCCTCAGATATTTTAGTTTGATCTTTCATACTCTTGGATGACACTCATGCAAGATATCTGGTTTCTCATAAATTTGTTAAACTTCAGACTACCATAGGCTAACACCACAGGTGTTGTGGCCCTGGGCACACTCATCAGAGGCATGCTCTCATGCAAAAGATAATGGGTTCTGAATGTAGATCGGGTGTGGATCTGCAGTGAGCAGACAGAAGAGGGGCTGTGTCAGTGTCAAGTAGAGCTGAAATTACCAATAAAGTGTCAAGTAAAAGTTGGCACACCCCTATTATTTGCCTCTGGCCAGGAAAGAAGCACATGGACCTTCTACTCCTCCACACAAGCCCCTTCTTGGGTCAGTTACATACCTGAGAAAAGAGACTATTGTTTGGTGTAGCTAGCAGTTCTCTGCATTAAGTAACAGGTGGTTCTCCAGGACATGCTCTGGCACTGACATGAAACATGTATTACAATGGAGAGAAATCATTAACTAATGATCGGAATGCAGAAGACCAACCAGACAACAGACTTTAGGTGACAGTCTAGCAATTGAACTTCAGTTTTAAGTTCAATGTGCAAAGCCAAGGCAACCCTTTGTTGTGTATATGTTGCTCAAGCTTATAGATATATACTGTAATTCCTCATGACTTTGGTTTTTGGGTTTTGGGTTTTGAGGTTTCTTTAACATTCTTTTTTAACTGGGTGGTTGGCAGATCAACACTGGCACCTCCCTGGTGACTCTGGGCACACTTGTCGGAGGTGTTCCCTCAGCAACCATCTCTAAAATCCCATCCAGTGAGCTTCTCACCGTGTCCCAGAATCCAACGTTCATCACCAACATTCTGACAGCCCCAGTGATCCTTCAAGAAACATACGTACAGAAGGTATTCACAAATACACACATTTACAAATTGCAAAACACCTTTAACTCCAGTGATTCTGAGACATATATGGAAGGAAAATGCAACCATCTGCTGGTTCTGTTCAAAACAGTTTGAACTGCCATTCATTTCTCTATAGAGCAAATTTTTGATACCGGAGTGAAAAATGACTTAAAACTTTTGTAAAACAGTCATTGTGCAATCACATAAGCACAGTAGTTACAAATACAATGTAGTAGCAGAATATTTTAATGGGAAACGTAACGTAAATGAAAGAACAATTAAACACAAATCACAAAACCCATGGCTCAGTGTTGGTGCCTCTTTGCGGGATGGGGGACAGCGATGTTATCAGCGTGACAGACTTTGTCTCATAATAACTATATTTTCATCTTTTTATGACACTTAATCATTCGGAACATTGATATAATGTCACATATAATTGAACAACAGAGGATATTGTGTTGTACAAGCTGTAATTTGCATCTCCTCTAGTTCACTGTGAGCCAATGATTCAAACACCAACAACAGGGGGCTGATAGGCTTATGATGTCATGTGCGGTATTGTCTAATCACAGTATTGTCTAGTCATACCGATTGACAATACTATGGTGGGCGGTGTGAAAACTGAAAAGGAAAAGCTGCTTTCCAGTGCTACCAGCATGCCATCTGAACACGTTTTGAGTGCACACAGAAAATGGAGCCATAAACACAGACTGCAGGATAATGGTCATCTGCGGCACCTTACTCCAGGAAAGAAGGATATGTTGTGACACCATACTTCCTACCGTGCCTGCCTAAACTGGAGAAAATAAACAGGCTTTTTGGTCAAAAACTTGTAAACTTTGTTCTCTCTGTATGATTTGGTACCTCTTGATACTTCTTGGTGTGAGTTGGTTGATGTTGGCATTACTCGGTAGCTTGTGGTTTGGTAACTCTTGGTTTGCTTTGGTAATTCTTTGTTCGGTTTCTTTTGTGATTTGGTTTGGCAGTTTTTGGTATAGTTTAGTAGTTCTTGGCATGAGTTGGTTGTTGTTGGTATGACTTGGTAGTTTGTACTTTGGGTTGGTAATTCTTAATTTGGTTTGGCAGTTTTTGGTATGGTTTAGTAGTTCTTGGTTTCGTGTGGTTGTTCCAGGTTTGATTTGGTAGTTTTTGATACAGTTTAAAAGTTCCTAGTTTGGTTTAGTAGTTCTTGGTTTGGTTTGGTATTTTCTGGTTTGCTTTGGTAGTTTTGTGGTTTGATTTGGTAGTTTTTGGTATGGTTTCGTACTTTTTGATTTGTTAGTTCTTAGTTTGGTTTGGTTTCCTTCTGGATTACAAATGTAATTAAAGAAGTTAACTTCAAAATTCAGCCAAAATTAAAGCAAAATTTAATCATTCGGGTCTTTTCCCACCTTGTCTTTTCCCACAGATTGTCTCTGTAGACCAGACTAAAGTGGTGGAGAATGTCCCAAATGCACTGGCAGGGTATATCCCAACTGTGCTGCTGTCATCTCCCACCTCTGTTAATGTTACACTCATCAACATGAAGAGCTGGAGACAAGAACAGGTAACAGAACACACCCACAATTAATTGTAGCGATGATGTAAGCAATTTCAAATCTAAGTATGAAAAATCTTATGAATGTTTAAATGTCTTATTTGTTTGTTTTCTTTTTCTAGGCTGTGGTGTTGTTCAGCTCAGTGGCCAGCGCCAGTGACAATGCAGAAGAGTGAGTTAATGCAAGCAAGTTGTCCAGTCACGTTGGACATTTACACGCCATTTTCACTACTAAAAAGGGTTAATAAGTGTTAAATGTGTGTGTGTGTGTGTGTGTCTCCTCCTGCAGGCTGTCAGATTCAATACTACAGGGATTCACCTGCACCTCAGTTCAGAATCTACCAGAGTCAAAAGTCACACAGCTGGTGAAAGCCTGTAGACCACGTGATGGCAGGAACAAGGTCGTCCTGAAAGAGTCTCAGGTACATAGAGTCTGACTCACTCAGCTCAGGTACAGTAGGATTTTCAGTAATTACCACAGAATACAGAACAAAACACAGTGCTAATCCTGGACATCAAATTCTATATCATCGAGGTTTTTAGGCTGCTCAAATACTGGAGCATGCGCCATACTAAGCCATAGGTGGGCAGTGTGATGACATTTATTGTTATTGTGGTAAATAACATTACCGTATGGTTATCTGAGAATATGTCATGGGTATGATCTGTGATCTGAAAATCCCAGGCATATTACATACTGAGGCTTATTATTCAGTACAGGGACTTAAATTCAAACAGGTTGAGGTATTCTTAGGTTACAGAAGTGTGTAATAAAACTTTGGGCTTGCTGGTGGGCCCTGGCCATTTACGGTGTTGAAGAACTTTGACGAACTGCATGTTTCATTATAAAGATATCACAATTAGTCTGTTTGATTGGATGTAGTGCATCACAGAGGTGGGAAAAACATTGTGACAGGTATCGTGTATTGTGGAAAGCTAGTGCAATGTTATATTTTTGCCATATTGCCCTTCTCTACTCAGTACACAGGTATATATTCTCAGAGATGACAGAGCTGAGAGCGCGCTACCTGGCTAACAATTTACTAGAGAACTTAATTAAGCTGCACCAATATTATTGGTTCAAATTAGAGCTCTAAAATAGTTACAGTTTGAGTCTCAACAGTGGTGAAGTCATCTAACGCAGAGCGTTCTGTTTTGCAGCTGACCTGCATGTACAACAACGTGAAAGATGTTTCAAATCTGACCTTCACTGACTTTCCTGCTGACATGCTTCTCTACTACAAGTGGGTAATACAAACTCACAAACAATGATTTAGACTCAGAAAAATACAATTTTTGAAATTGTAAGAAATTGTAAAACAAAAAAAAAAAACAAGATTGTGATCAAGAAAGTAGTCTGGACTAAAGTCAACTAGTTTTAACTATGAATGCATTTTAAAGGTATTAATGTTTATTTAAGGGGTAATACAACTACTAATGTTTATTTCATTCCAGAAACAGGATTTTACAGAACTGATTATTAAAATCTCGTTGTTTTATTGTTGTAAGTCAGGAAAACACTATTCACTGTCATAATAAAAAATTTAGGTTATTTTGTAGTGTATAATCTAGCATAAATCCAGGAAAGCAGTACATTGGCTGTAACATTCTTCAGAACAGGTTTAGAAATTCACATACGGCATGACTAGATTACGCAGAGAGTGGGTGGAGCTAAGCCGTGAGTGGAAGTGAACTGACGATCTACTACACACTGAAATAAACAAATATCGGTCCAATTTTTAAATTTTTTGTGATTTGTGTTTAGTAGATGTTATAGATGCAATTTATCCAAAAGTCTGAAAAATGAGCAAATCGTAATTTCTGTCTGTAGCGCCCTGCCTTAAATTAGTAGGTCTGGTCTGGCTTAAAGAGGCGCCTCAGTCATTCAATACTAATACATGCACTTAGAATGACATCTTCCAAAATAGCAGTTGTGGAAAACATTTTCAACCTATTTCTGTAAATATGTTTTCTGTAAAAAGTAATTTACATTTAGACAAAGTTCAAAGAAATAGTGGAATATTGTCTTTGTAATCAAAGTCCAACATAAGCTGACAGGTTTAGGATGTTTGTGTGCTTAATCAGCTCAAACAATGTGTTTGTGTGTGTTGTAGCCTTGGGACACTGACGAAGGTGAACTGCGAGTCGTATTTCAGAGCTCTGGGTGGAGCAGATTTCTCGGTTCTCTCCAGCGTCCTCAACAGACAGTCTCTCTTGTTCACGTATGCAAAGGACTGCCTGGTAAAACACTCACCTATACACACACAGTATCTATGCAAAAATGGGAAAAAAAGTCATTTTATGATACAAAAACAAGAAGGTGGGTGTTGCACATTTAATGGTACTGAAAGATTAAGGGGACCTATTATGTTTGTTTGTTTTTTCCTTTTACTTTACTGTGTTGTAGCTTTTGTGCATGTAAATGGTCTGCAAGGTCACACAGCTCAGAGATCATGCCAGAGGAAGAAACTCTCTCCCACAGAAGCCACTTGTCTCAGCTGCCTGAAATGCCTCGTTGGAATTCCGGCCCTTTTCTTTTTTTAAAAGATGACGCAATCTCATAACACAGTCCTTATCGCCCGCCTAGCTGCAAGCTTGGCACGTCCTCACACATGAGAGCAACAGAGTAAGAGCTTCCCACTCTGAAACATTCTGCTTCAGTCTAGCTTGCGAAGGTGCATTGGCTCTACCAGCTTTTTTACTGGACTTTAAGGATCGGACTCAAACTGATACAACAGATCCGACGCCATTGGAGAAACAGCCACAGTGATGTAGTGGTCGAACTTGCAGCAGGAAGCCGCTCTGGCGGTTGACCAGTCAGAACAGATTGGTCGAGATGACCACTCAGAGCACACTAGGCTCATCAGGAGGCGGGGCTTAAAGACACAGGAGTATTTCAGACAGAGGGTGAATAGAGATATACAGTGTGAGAAAAATAATGTGTTTTTGGAACATTGAAGCATGTAAATCTATTCTAGTTGCCCAAAATAAATTTACGAACATTGAAAATGATCATAAGAGCTCCCCTTTAAGGCACACTAAGTCAAACTATGGAATGACTGGCAGTGGCACATTTCTATTCAGGCAGCAACAAGGAAGGTAATATGCCAGTTATACAGTGGTATCCAAAAGTTTGAACATCTTTAGTCAAATGACTTGTTTCATGGAATTTCTAAGTAAAATTGAAATCACGCCTCCCTCCGGCCTGGCTAAGACCACAGCCAACGGGGCCTCCCAGGACTCCAATTCTCAGAACTCCTTGCTGCGTCACATGACCATGGACTCTCACTGATCCACCTATTAGCGCTCCTCATTTCCGGACTTCTGATTACACTCACTCCTGTTCCTTATTTTCTTTGTCAGTTAGTTTAGTATATAAGCCTGGGCTTTAGGAAAGATCCTTTGCGAAGTGTTGTCACCTATGTGCGTAATGAGCGTTTCTCTAGTGTTTCTGACAGCCTTCCTGTGTATGAATCGCTTTCTGTTTTTGACCTGGATTCTTGCTGTACTCTTTTGTTTTTGTGTTGGTGTTCTGGTTTTCAACTTTCTGCTTTGGTTTATTGACTGTGATTGTGGACAACCCCTTTAGCATACTGATCTTAACTCAAGCCTCTGCTGCAAGTGTCTGGTTCCATCTGCCACCATTACAGGATATTTCGCCACCATGCAGACAGCAGACATGGAGGCTGTGCAGAAGGTCCTGAACAATCACGGTCAGCTCCTGGGCCGACATCAGCAAGCGCTGGCTGATGTCACTCAGTCAGTTGGCAACCTGACAACAAGCCGAGGAGCAGGCCCAGCTTTCCCAGCTCCTAACTGAAATTAACGACATTGCTGCTTAGCTGCAACACCTCATCGTTTCCACAACAACTCCTTCAGCTACTCTGGTTTCTGTCGCTAACACCCCAATTTCACTGAGTCAGCCTCCTACATTCCCTGTGAGTGAGCCAGACAAGTTTGATGGATCCCCTGATAAATGTAGAGGGTTTTTGTTAAAGTGCTCTGTGTACTTCAGTAATTCCCCTGCTGTTACAGACCAGGCAAAGATTGTTTTTTGTTTCATGGCTCATATAGATAGATAGATAGATAAATAGACAGATAGATTTTTATTGACTTTATTGAGCCCAAAGGGAAATTGCAGTGTTTCAGTAGCAATACATATAATTGCACATGAATGTACATACACATGCAGAAAATAAAGAATGGAAATAAAAATAGACATAAGTTAAAGTGTAAAATAGTAGAAATAAAAGTATATTTGCATATTTGCATAGCATATAAGACAGATTTATTGTATTTAAATGATAGCAGGTACCATCTCTGCAGTAAGGAGACTCATTGTAGAGCCGTATATCAGTGGGTAAGAAAGATCTCACACGGCTCTTTAACACAGCGCAGCTGTAACAGTCTGCACTGAATGAGCTTCTCTGTTTATCCAGTGTAGCATGCAGAGGGTGTGAGGTATTATCCAAGATGGCTAACAGCTTGTTGAGTGTCCTCTGTTCTGCCACAACCTCCAAAGAGTCCAGCTTGACTCCAACAACAGAGCCAGCCTTCCTAATAAGTTTGTTTATTTTGTTCAGAGCACTTTTGTTAATGCTGCTGCCCCAGAACACAACAGCATACAATAAAGCACTCACTACAGCAGACTGGCAGAATGTCCATAGGAGCTTGGTGCTCACACCAAAAGACTTCAGCCTCCTCAGGAAGTAGAGATGGCTTGTACACCGCGAGTTATAGCTCCAGTCCAGCTTGTTGTCCAAGTGCACACCCAGATACTTGTAGGTCCCCACCACCTCCACATATGAGCAATTTCTGAAAGACACACATCATCGAAACCGCTTATCCTTCTGTGTCGCGGGGGGAGCTGGAGCCTTTCCCAGCTGTCATTGGGCAGAAGGCAGGATACAGCCTGGACAGGTCACCTGTCCATAATTTCTGAAAGACTTTAAATTAAATTTAGTGACCCTTATTAGTCCCACAACGGGTGGTGGGCAGCCCTATCCACGGCGCCTGGGAAGCAGTTGGGGGTTAGGTGCCTTGCTCAGGGGCACTTCAGTCAGATACTGCCCCCAAGTTGTTAAGACTGTGTTTGATCATCCCCATAGGGGATGATCCTTTTGTGTAAGATGAAGCATGGTAATCGCTCGGTTTCAACATATGCTTTGGAGTTTTGTACACTAGCTGCCGGAAGTGTTTGAAATGAACCAGCACTCATTATAGCATTTAGAAATTGACTTAATACTGAATTGCTAACACATTTAGCTTACAAAGATGACAATCTGCCTCTTCACTGTTCGACTAGACCAACTACTTCAAAAAAGACCCTTGCACAAAAGTTCTCCCCATACTCATGTAATCATCAGTTCCTATTCCAGTCACAGCACCAGTTCCAACTCCAGCTCCTGGGCAAGTGCTTGTTCATGCTCCAACTCCCAGTGCCGTTCGGCTCCAAAACTCATGCAGTGTGACTCCTCCAGGCTGTCCAGAGAGGAGAGGCTTTGTTGTCTTTGTGGAGGTCTGAGCGTGTCTTGTGGCACAGCAGGTCATGTTCTACGTGACTGTCGAGCTTGTCCGCACAGACCTGGATTTTAAAAAAGGGGTTGGTTTCAAAGTCTGTACTCCTCCCAGTTACAGTCTGCTACCATCATATTTCTCTTGTCATTACAACACTAATCAACTCCGGAGCCAAGGGGAACTTCCTTCACTCAGGCGTGGTGGCCCAAGTTCCAGTCCAAGATCTCCAGACTCCTCTCAAGGTCGCCATGCTGGATGGAGGACCAGTTGGATCAGATCCCATTTCTTTCATCACCAAACCTGTTAAGCTAGAAGCTAGTTTTCTACAAAAATAATTTTTGCCCTTTCCAGTTATTGACTCTTCCAAGTTCGCTATGATCTTAGGTCTTCCCTGGCTACAAAAACATGACCCACAGATCTCATGGTCCTCCAGCAATATAGCAATATAACAGTTTGGTTGGACTATTGTTACTCAAATTGTCTCACATTCCTTGTACTCAGTCAGTTCTACCACCATTGAAAGTCCCAAAATCACTCTCATTACACAAGTTGCCCCTGAATATTCCAACCTACTAGAAGTTTTCAACAAAAAGAACGTCACTAAGCTTTCCCCTCACCATCCATATGATTGCTCAGTAGTTATCATAGAGGGTGCCACATTGCCTAAATCCTGTGTGTATCCACTAACACAAGAAGAGGAGAAAGCAATGGGGGAGTACATTGATAAGGCGTTAGCTCAGAGGTTCATACATCCGTATAGTCCCCAGCCACTTCAGGATTCTTCTTTGTTAAAAAGAAAGATGGAGACCTTAGGCCTTGACATCACCATCACTTCATGGAGCCCCATTTTTCACCAAATTAGATCTTCGTAGTGCCTACAATTTAATTCGTGTCAGGGAAGGTGACGAACAGAAAACGGCATTCATCACCACCAGGGGGCACTATGAGTACTCAGTCATGTGTTTCAAGCTCTCTAACACCCCCTCTATCTTCCAATCATTCATCAGTGATATCCTCTGGGACATGATAGGGAAATTTGTGATTGCTTATATTGATGATATCCTGATTTATTTTCCAGACTATGACACATGCGTACAAGTCTGCCAAGTTTTACAATGCCTACTAGAAAACAACCTTTTTGTCGAGGGAGAGACATGTGAATTTCATTTACATCTCTTTTCATTTACACCAAGTGTCATTCCTAGGTTACATAATCAGCACACAGGGTGTTCTCATGGATGACAAAAAAGCTGAAGTCATAGTCCCACGAATGTAAAAGAACTACAAAGATGCTTAGGGTATGCCAATTTCTACAGAAGGTTTATCTGTAACATCAGCTCGATCATCGCACACCTCACAGCTCTTCTAAAGGGAGCGTCTAAAACGCCATGTTTCCCTCCTTAAACCTTTGGTCCTAGATCCCATGGACGAGGTGTCACCTGATAAGGCTCCACAGGGCACCCCCGTCTTTGCTGTCTGTCAGGTGCTGGATTTCCCCATCTGATGCCTCTAGTTGGGTTGGTGGTGGTCGTCGCAGGTGCCCTCGTGCCTTGGCTGTCCCAGACTCCTTGGGAGGGGGGGGTACTGTCACGCCTCCCTCCGGCCTGGCTAAGACTACAGCCAACGACTACAGCCAATCCACCTATCAGCACTTCTCATCTTCAGACTTCTGATTACAGTCACACTGTTCCTTACTTCCTTTGTCAGTTAGTTTAACATATATA